GGCCGGCACCGCTCAGGTGGGTTCCTCCTTCCGCACGGCAAAACCACGTCAGGCTGAAATACTGAGCTTGACTCAGTGTATGTAACATATATAAAATACATCATAAACTCGACTGTAACCCCCGGGCACGCCCACACGGCGTGGGCCGATCCTGCAGGAAGGTTCGAATCTCACCGTATCTTACTGCTTACGGCGCAAACGCGAATTCCAAACCCCCCCTCCGCAGACAGCGGGCACGCGTTTGAAACGCGCTGTAGAAACACGCGTGGAAAATGCCTGACTGCTAGTGGTCCTAGAAAGAAGGAGACTATAGGCAAGGCAATATGGCATCTACGGAAAGAGATTACCTCTGGTTATGAACTTCGTACTGCTCATGGCTGCTGACTATCAGAGTTACCGCTTAACTTCAGGAAAAAAAGCTTTAGTAGAATTATTAACTTAATTTCCTGAATCAAATGGATAATGCAGAAGGGTCCCCAAACAGGCTTGCTGAAAACTTAGAGCAATTGAATCACCCAGAAGGGCTTAGTGTTAGAATTTAAACACCATACATAGAAAAACAAAAAGGTGTTTCCATCCCAGAACAGGTGCCTAGATTATTATGGAAACCTATTTTTAACAGAAAAGAAATCTGCAAGTGTAAATGTGTTGCATCACTCGTTTTTGTGCAAGCCTTCCTAATTTAATTGCTACCTTCTCATTTTTTAACAGAGAGACGAAACTGTAGTTCTGTGATATTCTTCTTGATGCAAACACTCCAGCAAAAGAGTATTTTCCAGCATAAAAATAAAACCCTATAGGTATTTGTTTAAATGAAACAATAAAGCAAATTTCCCAAGAGAGTAATACTTCACTGCAGTCAAGCTTGTGGAAGGAAAAAAAAATCAGAATAACTGTAAAAAATTGTAGGAATGTAGTATTTTAAAGACATTAGCACACTCACTACAACTCTAGCAGGAAACCTTTGATTCTGACTCTTTCCTGTGACCCGAGCACCCGGCTTTAGAGCACAACGGTAGAAATTACAGCAAACAGGTAAAAAATGTGTTCACGGTGTAGAGCAGCTGTGTAGCATTTTTAACTAAAGAGTAGCTCTGTCCTGACAGGCCTCGCTCCGAAAGATGTGCAAGTCAATGCTTGAAACACTGAGCTATTATCTGCCATTCCCACAGATATTCCTTCAAGTGGCTATCAAGATTTGGGAATAGATTCCATTTTTTGAGCAAAATCGAGACTTGTACAAATCTTGGTACACACGAAAAAAAAAGCACCTGTTCTCAGGAAAAAAAAAATTTCATTATTCATCTCAGATGTTTTATTGTTCCACCTGTCCACTTTTGCTGTCCCTTGTATCTGTTATCCTTTGTAGGGAATCTTGACTCCAGTCTTTAATCAAATTATCTCAAAAAAAGCTGAATAAAACAGCTTAGCTACCTGATTTTTTCAGAACAAGAGAACTAGAAGACACACTGGAGTGGAGCCACAAGCCCTGCAAAGCCCCTGGTCTTGCAAGAGACCGCCGGAACGACCACCTCCTACCCGCCAGGAAAAGATTTATTAAATAACCACTTCCTTCCACAAACAGCACCTTTTGCAGATTGGTTTTACACAGTCCGTCAGCAGCGATGGTCTCGGTGATTTCAACGTTCCAGTTTAAGAACGTTAGGCGAATACTGGGTATTACAGAAAACAAGGGGTTTTCTTCCTTTTAACAGAAAGTAAAGTATTTTCCCTACTGTGCTATCTTCTAAGAATTTCAACGTGCCTCTCCAGCCTCCAGCCTGAACATCTCTACGGGAGAGGAAGACGAGGCCCGCGTCTTGCGGAAGAGCAAACACAAACCCCAGCAAGAGTTCATCCACATTACACCAACAGTCACCGACAAAGCAAAGGTACCGGTGGAGAACCTGAACAAGGCAGAGCCCACGTCTCGTACCATCAGGCTGATCCGCGCAGCCCCCCGTGCTCTCTAGAGGCGTCTGTCGTACTTCTGAGCTGTGCTGATTCAGAACGTTTCCATGAAAAGCTGTTCTCACAACGCCGCCCCGATGCACTCGGATTTGGGAGCTCCCTATTCGAGAAGTAGTTGCGAATGCCAAGATTTTAGGTGGATTAACAAAAATGATTACACAAACGCATGTGTAATCTGCACAGCTGCTATTATGTATTTTGCAGAGACATCTGGATTCCCAGTTTAATGACTAATTGTACTATGATGAACTTCCCAGTTCCATCTTGTTCCGGGCAGCACAAAAACCCTGTCATTGAGGAAGGCACGGGCTATTCAAACCTAACAGCTTATATTCAGGAATGAAAGGAATTATCTTATTGCATCATTTTCAAACCTATTTAATTCTGCATATTCAAAACGCTCCAGCATCTCTTGCATCGGCAGGTGTACCCAACCTGAATGGATAGTGTTTTGTAGAAAATCTCTCTTTTCAAACTCTCTTTCAAATTTCTGAGAATCTAAAAGAAGTTGCACACTAATGAGCTGATAATCCTTAACAAAAAACCCAAATGGTTTGGCTTGTTTTCCTGTCGCTAAATGACTAGCTATGCGCTGTCACATAAGAAAACTAGCTCCACCGTTAGCAGCCTTGTGAACAATTTTCTTTTTGAATCACTAGACATGAAAATCCACACTCGGTACTGGAGCAACAGAATCAGAAATTAAAGTTAATAGGACAATTATTATAATTTACCTAGATGTCTTTTCTGGTCTCCACTACAGAACATCATCCCACTGGCTCTCAAGACTCCTGACACTTCTGGACAAGCCACAACTTACCTTTGGTGAGAAGACTTAACTTGATTAAAAAGTCTAACGGATAAATCCCAACTGTTACGTTCACAGATAAAAGAACAAAGAAATACATTCCAGTCCTTGGTCTATCTTTATGTTCAAGCCGCACGTGAATGCAATTCTGTGTTAGAGGAAATGCTCTGACTTTTCATTTCAGCGCATGCCAGCCTTTCTCCAAAGAAAGGCTGAGGCAGCGGAGGAGTTTCCAATGAAAGGCATGACAAGAAATACCTCGTCCTTCCTTCCGAGCTTTGCAGTAAGAAAAAAGTTCAACTTTACGATGACACCTTATTGATGCATAGCTTCCCTAGTTTCTGGTTTAGGATTTGCCTTACCAGGGTATTTCTAACGGCAGAGGAAAATGATCTGATGGGTAGCCAGAAAAGTTCAAAAGCTGATCTTCTAGGGACAAAATTGCAGTCAGCTTTCCCGTTCTGCCAACCTGCACAAGAGAGCACCTCACGTGCCTATCGTGAGGCTGAAAAGTACCAAGCGTTGTCTGAATCACAGTGTTTTCACTTGACAATACAAGGGCACTGTTCAGCAATTATAATTCTGCATTTATACGTAAGCGCTGAAAAACGCGTCTCCGTTTTTAATGCCAAGTTGGCAGAAGACAAGGGCCACCACAGCACGGGCAGGTCTCCTGCAGCCGCGCCTACAAGCAACGCGGTGCAAGCCTCAGACTGCCCGTGAGTTTAAGACAATCCCACCTTGAAGCCTGATGAGACTGATGGTTCCCTGCACAACAGGGAGGATGCTGTGCATGCGCTTAAAGGACAAAATGATGCCAAATGCATCACAAGTGAGATTTAAAAAAAAAAACAAAAAAACCCAAAAACAGTATTTACTAAGCCACCTGGGTAATGCAGAACCAAAACCAGGATTTACCTCGTCTCTGCAAGATACAGATCTTATCTCAGAGTACTGGACAGTATTTGCTCTCTGCCATCTTGTAAGCCAAAGCAGCAATCCTCCTGCACTGCAGATACGATACTATTTGCACACGCGTTGCACAAGCCCAGGACAAAAGCACACGCAATTCCTCCTCATGCTTCAGCTGGGCTGGGAAAAGGGGATGTGTCTACACTGAGCTGCAAACTGAATGTTTAATGCATACACCACAAGAGTCATGAGGAAAATTAACCTTTTTACCAGCACCACACGTAACCATGGTGATACGAGCGGATTTCAAGTTTTGTCTAATGAGGCTGGAGCACTCGGAAGGCTCTGGCACTTCAAAGCCTGCGCGGAAGCTGTCTGAGCCCAACAGCCTGTGGCCACTGCCGAACCTCCCTTCCGCAGGTAACAAGACACGGTCTGGTGAAACCAGTGCCGGGTGGGCGGCTTTTTATGCCCGTGCGTGACACTTCTAGCGTTAAATAGACTTGTAGGCTAGTGGGCAGACTTACTTTGTACACCTGGATAGGGACTCCGCTAAAGTACGTAAAAAACAAAATGGAAAAATTGGGTAAGCTAGTATCAGAGTCACAGGGAAAGGAAGAACAGGTAACTGAAGTATTTTTCTGAAATAGCATCCTACATCCTACAAAAGTACTATGGAACTATGGCAGAAAAGGAAATTGTTTTATAAAACAGAATAAAGTTTTGGAAAAATTTCAAAGAGAAAGACTTGAAAAAGAAATAATCAAAAAAATCAGAAGGGGGCGGGGGGAGAGAGAATGAGTTACCTAAGAAATGGAAACCTCCTCAAGCCTCTTTAGCCGAGATGCTCATTTCTGAAAGCACCCAGACTGAAAAGCGAGCTTGCTTTTCCATTCTTATTCCAGACACATTGCTAGTATCGGGGGGAAGGTTCCAGGGGAGGTTAACTTTTGCACGTCACACAACTGAATTGATGGAATATGTATTACATGTAACAGCTTTTATATTATATGAAAAAAAAAAAGAATAACAAATCAATGATACTTACTCCTGTACTGACAAGAGACAGCATAATTCTTTCATTTAAGGCTAATGTTTCTCCTTGCTTCATCTTGATTCTCTTCTTATCTAAACATTTCATTGCATACCTGAAAATATTAACTGTTCAGACAAAGCACCAGAAAAAATTTCCTCCTATACTCAGTATTATTCACTAGCAGTTATGCCATGTGTATTTACAGTACCCTGTAAGCAAGCTCTTTAAAGACTTAAAGCTGGTACTAAAAACATCATTACACAATGAAACAAGCAAACCTCCAAAATCTCCCAGAATTTAAACATTTTCAGCAGAAGCCCCCTAGCAGAGAGATGTGCTTTAACAAATAATTGTGTCCACACACCCACAGTGATACAGGAATTACACACCATACATTCATTTTTCAATATCTACAAGCAAGGATTTGCAGTATGAATTAAATAACAGAGACCCTATTGCGATTCCGTTTAATTCTAACAGTTTCAACTCTACCAGGAAAGTAATATCTTGAACACACGCTGAGGGGTTTTTGGGGGATTTTTTTAAAGTTTTTTTTTCCACTCAAAAAAAACGTCAGATATACACAAGAAAGCTTTTTTAATCTTTTACCATCTGTATTACACAAAGTAATAAAATTTTCCTCAAAAAAGGATGTTACCCTAACAACCATCCAACAAGAGTAGGATACGACACAGCCCATAGATATTTTTTCTAAACGTTTGGTGATCCTGCTATTAGGGAACCAGCTGAGAAGGACACGTGTGTTCCTCCACAGAAGACTTCCAGACGTGGGCAGCCACGGATTTTTAGGCCATTTGTTTTAAAATATGCTCCGGAAAACACCATCTTACAGCACTGCATCAATGCTAATCGACTGCCTACGCTGTGACAGCTCTGTACCGAACGGGGCCTCGTCTCACCTTGGCTTCGCGCTCCCTGAAAAAGCTACGTCATTACTTGCCATGCATGTGTTGTGGGTGGGGGAAGAGTGAGCGTGAACACACGGGAATTTTAAGATTCCAAAACAAGGCATATATTCACAGCACGTGCTCTTGCCGAGGAGTCTGCAAACGAGGACTATAAATAACATTTCGCACACTACCCTTTATTCATGCTTTGACATCACCGATCAAAGTGAAGGACTGGGGCCATTCAAGGCCGATCGAAATCAAGGATCTCATTCTTGTATCGAGTTACGTGCTCAGAAAGCACCGCTATCCCTCTCCCTTTGGACTGCTTTCTGCATTGTACTTCTGGCCCTATTTAGGTGTCCTTGAAGGAGGTGATGTGAAAGAAGCCTCAGGTGTATCTTTGTGGGTTAGTGGAACACCGATGGCATTTACCTTAGAGGGGTGGCTTCCCAAGCTCCTTGCAGGCAGTAAGAGCAGCAGAGGCAGCCATCTAGAGTGGACGGGATCTGGATTAGGGATGGGTAAACAGGTTTGGATTAAGAAAGAACTAAACCAAACCTCTACCCAGAAACTGAACCTAATCTAAAGTTTTGCTTCGAATTTGAAAAAATGTTGGTTTTCCCACATTTCACTTCCCTTTACTCTATTTATATGTGAGAAAAACTGTCCTTTGCTTCACTTCCTAGTCCCAAGGTTTATCCACCTCCTGCCAGAGCAAAACCCGGACACGGAAATGACTGGGAATCTGCGAACTACCTCTTCAGGGTGGACGCCTACGTCGTGTGGCTCAAGCTAAATAAAACGTTTATTTTTGTACATGGACAAATTAACAAATGTACATGGACAAAAAAAGTACCAAAGCAAGAATAAAGACAGTATTGTTAGTAATAGTATTAACATAAACACTTGAAGTCACTGCAAAAATACTGAGCATGGTAGCAACATTAAGATGTCTTCCACTTGTTAATAGCTCAGAATTTCATCATTATCAGGGATGCCAAGCACACACAATTGCCAGTGAAGCCAGCTGTAACCGCAGAGACTAGGCACTTCAGACATGCCATGCTTACTTCGAAGAGAAATGTTTAAGGACGATCCCTGGACAAAAATTGTTAGGAGAAAAGCAAGATGAAAGGGGCAGAGTGGGGTGTAAATAAACAAACAAATAAATAGATATTGAGAACAATTTGTTAAATCAATGCCCAGATGTTCAAAACAGAACATAATGGGATAATTTTGCCTAGACATTGAAATCCGATGATCAGGAGAAGTGTCTGAATGGTAAGACCGGAAAAAGAAAAAACACCACTCAGGGTTGGTCTTGGAGTTCCCACCGAGAGCTCTGTCCAACAGAAGTTCAACACTGGAGCTATATGCTTCCAAATGTAAGCATGGATCACTGTTTTTGCCAGTGGAACGTGCTCATCAGGGCAGAAATGTATGCAATGCCACAAATCTGGAATACCATATTCAGAATCTGCCCAGGCATGACCCTACAGATTGAACAGCACTGAGGTCATATTCCTACGTCATCCTCCAACCCTATGTCAGCACCAGCTACGTGATGCGCTTCGCTGCGAGAAGAGCAACCTTCGGCAGACGAGAGGTAACACCTCACACAATCACCACGGCTGCCACAAGAACATTGTTCTGCACTGTCAGGCTCTGATCCAGGAAATCATTTAAGCACATACTTAATTTCAACACATGTGCAGTTTCTATTAATTTTGACAAGATCGTTTAAATAAAGGATGTGTTTAAGAGCTCTGCTGGACTGAAGCCCCACTGCATGGCACATAACAGGATCAAATATCGAACTACGCTTAAAGATGATCCAGAAATCAGAACCTCTTGGGATAAAATTTAATTACAAGGAACTATACAGTAATGTGATACTGCTTTCCAGTGATTTTGTAAGAAATGGCTGGATATCCTTACTAGTTCAGAGTTTACAATTACCTCTAAAATAAAGTGTGTATATACTCACATTTTTCCAGTGTCTGCTTTTCTGCAACCATACACTTCGCCAAATCCCCCTCTTCCTATTATTCTATGTACACTAAAATCATTCATGGTCAGCTGTAAATTAAAAAACAAAACAAAACCAGACTTCATTTTTCAGTACTAAAAAACCTTACTGCAAAAACATCTACCCAATCTATCAATGAGTCGAGATACTTACCTACCGTAATTCACATAGCATTTATTGTTTTGGAAAAAGGAGCCCCTTATAGTTTGTATTTCAACATACTTGCGAGCACTACAGTCTGAAGTACCAACAAGACGAATGAGACTGTTGCTGCCAAAGACCGGCGGCCCCACGCAGCACGCAGTCTGCAGAAGAGGAGGGCTGCTTTTACAGGCAAAGCTGCAGCAGAGCGGTGCAGAGGGACAAAAGCAGAGACTGGGGTAAGGGGTGCTGGGGACAACGTCAGAACCGTAGTGGGAAGAGGGAGACAGAGGGTGTCTGGGGCTGTTAAAGAGCAGCAATTCTGGCAGTTCAGTTTCTTTCAGCTATTATAAAAATCAAAAAGCTATTAACTCGAGACAGGCAGAAGGGCCGTCCAGAAAGGAATCGTCAGGACTGTACATCTGAGAATAGAAGAGCAGATCAGTAACGCGCACCGTACTCCTTAATAAGGCCTTTTCACAAGCAATATTCAAAACTGAACATTTTCTTTCCTGCATCAGCCTTTGACAAGATAAATATACTTGTAAGTACTTACATGAATATTTAGTTCTACGTTTTTCCATTGACAAAATCTGGTAAACTTGTCACTGTAGAAAAAAAAAGTTTAAGAGTTGTCTGAGACTACTGCGTAAAGTATTCTAGAAAATGTCAAGACTCTGATATTTAAAATAAAGTTTGCGCTGGGGCGTGTTGTGGTATTTCATAAGCGATAGCCTTCCTTTCAGACAATTGTAATCTTACCCCCACCAAGAAAAACAATTACTAGGCAGTGCACACTTAGGATTTTACATCCTTGTAAGAGAAAGATATCAGATAACCTTCCCCCTGTAATTGTAAGTGCTCGGTATGTCCTCACAGCTCGCTCAGGCATTTCTTAATCTTTAAAAACAACTAAGTTTGGAACTAACAAACATTTAAATTACATAAAGAGAAAGATATTTAGAAGAGAACAGAGGCAGCTCGATTTATGTTAACGAACCTCCGTATACCCGAAGGAACGTTTTAAACTCATTTTATCCTAAAATAGGAAAAACATCAATAATCCCACAAGCCGTTGCAAGAAAAAAAACCCCCAGTTTCTCATTTCTACGTAAATAATTATTTCTTTTCAGAGTAAGAAATAATAGTTCTATGGAGGTTTTTTTACAACTATTTGAGTTTGACTGCAGAATACCACCACACCATCTCATACAGCAGCTTCGGCTGTCGCCGGAGGAGAGCCATGCTTTACAGACCCAAACCCAAGAGCAGTTCCGTGAAGGAAGAGGGAGCTGCTCAGCTGAACCAGGTCTGTAGGTCTGTACCTCGTATTCCTCACTGGACCCTTCCTGCTTAACTACAAGGAGCCCAGATACGAACCAGAATGGCGGGGTCTCTCAGTCACACACAAGGGACGGTAACTCATGAGAACATCCCACACAAACATGGCTCTGCATTTTTTTTAACCTTTGAGACCAAACAGCAATCTATTATTACTGCTACACAGAGCAACCGAAAAAATCTATCGTCATTACAGGTTTTCCACTCACAGATCCTGATATTAATCATGATATACAACAAGGCTAGTAATTTGCAGAAACTTGCTGATAATACACTATTAATCAAATAAAGTTTATTAAACACTTTCAGCCTTATTTTACAGCAATACTTAAGGGACCTGTCTTCCTGCGACACTAGATAGAAAGTTCGGATAATATGTCATGTTCATACCTTTCCATAAACTTTTGAAATATTTTTCCTCGGAGACTATCACAAATTTCTTCTATATATGGCTAAAAAGGGTTAAGAAACACAATTAGTATTTGAACATACAATAAACTGATCATGCAATAGTACCCATTACATATAACTCACATTGGCCCTGGGTAACTACAGCATTTACTGTGTTGTCCTTCAAGAAGGCTCGGTGAAGCATTTAAGCTTCATTTAGCTTTTGGAATCTGAGCAGGTGCCCTGAAGTCAAACGTAAAGTATTTTCATGAGCTAGAAAATCTTAAATGTTTGCCTTGGGGCGGGGGCTGTACGAAACCTGGATATAGAACCTGTCCGTGGACAACAAGTTTGACAAAACAATCACGGTACGGTTCTTTTTTCAAATATATCTAAACACAATACATGGTCACTCCCCTGGATCTGCACTTCCCAGAGCAGCTGTCGCGCTGCTGCTGTGTGGTGCTTCTCTCCTCTCTGTCCTTCCTAAGAAACCAGCACCCTCAATTCACAAGAGACTTTTTCTAGAGAAACACTTGCTCTTGATGTGTGATGGCACGCAGCGATCTCAAATCCCAACCCAATTAGCAGTGAGCTATAACTCAAGCAATGTAGTTGTCAGTTTGTCAGTTCACCTAATTGCAACATTAAAAACAGTTCAATGAGCAGTAAGAAAAATCAAGCAGAGGCAATCTTCACATTTTTGCAATATATAAAAATATGTTAAGATTTACATCAAAGAAATGTAGGCTTATAAACACTCCCATGATTGATGAGGTTCATTATCTGCAAAAAAACATTGGTTTAATGCACCTAGCTGTAAAAGTTAGCATAATTCTGAATTTCTCGATTGTATCAACGTGTATTAGATCTGTGGCAATACAAGAAACACTTCACTTCTCAATTCTTTGTTTTCTAAAGTAAATAAAAACATAAAATATGTATAATTTTGCAAATGAGCCAGGACACCATTTATATTTATATTCAAATCCAGGATATGCAAATCCCATACTTTCTTTTAACCAGTCAGAATTTTAGAAAGTTTTTAAAAAAGCACCACAATTTGAATGGTGCAGAAACTCCTCTTTAGAAAGTAATTTTTGATTGGATTTTGTCTTGTGGAGAGACAGAAAAACATGCAAAATGGTACAAACGCTTAATTCCTCACCATCATCAACTGCGAATTAATACATCTTAAAGAAAAAGGAAAATATGTTTTCAAAGATTCCACATTACTGAGACATTAAGGCAGTTTTTCTCCACTATGCGATGTAGTTTATCCTGACAGGACGGTATCTTCTTACTCTACATCATTCCATGGCTTAAAATTACATAAATTTAAAAACTATTCTGATCATATGCCAAAGTATAGTTTGCTTTCATAAATGTGCTTGAAAGTATTTTAGATAAGAATAGTAATTTGTAAGTTTTATTTTACTTAGAAAAGCATTCTAGTATCACTATTAGAGCAAAGAGTATGTACCAGTACCGTTTTATTCCGTCTCCTTAAATAATATGTACAAAGTCACTTACTGTCAAATAAGTGAAGAAAACTTGAACAGACTGTCTTAGCCTCACCTGAAAAAGGCTGGCTGGCACTTGTTTCTTGGCTAAATGTGTTTGTACATGATCTACAGCTTGTTTTGAGAAAGGCTTTTGAAAAAGAAAAAGAAAGATTTCAAACAGTTGGAAATGTAGGAAGTTTCATTTAAGGTCTACAGCACTGTTGTTCTTTTAATCATACAAAAATACACATGCTTCAGAATGAATGCAGTAACAGCTTCCCCTAAGTACATTACTGTGAAACATGCAGAATGATACGGTAAAATAATTACTCTAAAGCAGGAAGGCAGGAGAGGGGAAGATGAGGAGGAGAGAGGTGAAGATAAAAGGGCTAGATGATGCTCCTTAAACAAATTCATGAAAAATCCCATGTAGAGGGACAGCTCCAGACACAGCAGTTGACAAGGACTTCTTACCACTACAGAGCCGATAATGCATGCTTAACGAAAAACTGCTTAAACCCTTCATCCAAAGAACCACAGCACTAGGGTAAAGCCCGTTGCAAATTTTTCTTTAAAATAAGAGCAAATGACACTCTTAAAGACAGCTCAATGGGCCAAAGCTTCAGCTGGAAGAAACGTGTTTTCACAGACTTCAACAAAGCTGCATCCGTCACAACATGGCCCCGTGTCTTTAACTTACTATATTGCAGCTAAAAATGTATTGTCTCCAGTATAGTGTGAAAGACTGCTTTACGACCAAACAAATAATAATGATCAAAAAATCTTTGTGTGATCAGTTTTAGACAAACTCTCAAACTCTACTCTGAGCTTTCAGAGATTAAAAAAAGTTCAACATCCAAACTGTCCAGCGGAGCCCCTGGCAGCTCACATTTCTTTGAGTTTTTTGGGGCAGAACTGTTGCTGGGTTGGAGAGGGTTGGTTAATGTATGTATATGTCTGCACGTATATACACGCACAAACTGTACTCATCACATTTTAAAATAGAGATTTAATTTAAAGAAATATAAAACAGATAAATCTCCAAATACTTCCGTTGCATACCACCAAGTTTAACAGAACTTGGCACACACCACCAATCTTTACACCTAATTGCTGGGGGGGGAAAAAAAAAAAAAAAAGCATGCTGAATTCAGCCAAACCCAGTCCCACGGACTTCAAAGAGCACTACAAGTATTTGTAGTAACAACTCCTTCAGCAACAGTCTTAATGGTTCTCGGAATGAAAAAGCAGTTATTTTGAATTATTGCTGCTGTCAAGCTACGCAAGTAAGGCAGAGAAAGAGCAGTGTGAAACTTGGATGATACACACATGTGAGCAGGACAGGAGCTCCTTCATTATGTACATGTCATAAATCTGCCGACTTCGGGTCAGACGCTCATCCTCAGAATCCAGTTTCTCGTATTCTTTTATCTGCAATACAAGAGAGAAGTATCCGTTAGATGGTAAAAACAAGACTTTGGCTGAAGTTTTATTTTACTTTATTATTTCCCTAATTAAGACTTAAAGAAAATCCACCTGCAACACCAGTTACAGTTGACCTTAGATATCCCTCCCATCTTAGAATTTTTATGCAAGGAAAACTGATTGCTTAAAATTGCTACAAAGCTTTGCTTTCTAAAATTTGGAAAGGACTGAGTTGAAGCGGCACGTTTTCCTCCATCCACCGTTTGCCAGGGCGTGAACCCGTGCAGGGGAAGTCAGCAAGTAACGGCGCGAGAGGAGCGGACCGCGCAAGGAGAGCGAGACGAGCAGACGTGCACAGCAACCTTCCTGAAGGTTTTCCTCCCCTCGGCTCGCTCCTCTAACACTCAAGAGCGTTGACCCTTTTCTCAGGTTATTCCACTCGATGTTCTGGACTAGCCACAGCACACCAGCACGTGCCCAAGCTCCCAGGGCTAGCCCAAGAGTTGTAATGTTGTCCAGGCAGCCCGCGCATCGCCTAGTGACAGCCGTCGGCTGCCAGCGCAGCGCCCGAGCATCCTGCTCCGGGGAGATTACGGAACGCTAAGTACAGTTGTCCAAGAAAGAATATAAAGCGCATTTCAAAATGTCCACGTAGTTCAGCTACATGTTGAATGTGAATCCTAAAGGTGGCTAGAAAGACAGTTTCACAAAATATATCAAGTTTCTTCAGGTGTGACATAGGCAGTCAGTGTGTTCCGGGTGAAACAAGAGCAAACCCATCGGGTTAATTTACAGAACAAAACCAGAATCATAGCGTCATTAAGGTTGGAAAAGACCTTTAAGATGATCAAGTCCAACCACCAACCCAACACCACCATGCCCACTAAACCATATCCTGAAGTGCCAGGTCTGCACGTTTTTTGAACGCTTCCAGTGACGGTGACTCCACCACCTCCCTGGGCAGCCTGTTCCGATGTTTGATCACCCTCTCAGTGAAGAAATTTTTCCTGGTATCTAGTCTAAGAAAATCTGTTCCAGAAAAAAACACCTCACCAAGTCCAAGGGTCCTTTGGAGCGTTTTTAGGGCAAGAGTTCTTCCAGGACTGACAGAATGTAAAAAACATACAGGATCTTTAGGGAAAAGTCTTAGCTCTGAGCTGCTGGACCTTCCCAGCATCACCTGTGAGGTGCCAGGCTCCAGAAGAACAACGCGTGCAGACTTGCCGTGGGTCCCTACGCCGATTCAAGAAAACCAAAGCGGAACAAGACCAAGGTGGATTTCATTCCGTGCCCGTTAGAGGAGGAACAGGCCACATCGGAGCGGTCTGTACTTTCCGCCTGCAGAATAAACCCGCACAAACGACGGCCCAGAGCATCTCCTTCTGAGGCAGGGAGCACCGGCTGTGCCTCCCGGGACAGCAAGCACGGCTCCCCTCTTCCTGCCGGCCACGCTCTAAAGCAAGAGCAGCACCAGGGTTAACAGAAAGCACATTGCTGAGGACTTTTAGAAGTAAAGATTTTTAAAAACGTGTGTTTTGCCTCTATTTCACATGATAATTTTTTTTTTCTTCATTCAGAGGCTGTTCCTTTTTGCAGGATGAGCTGTACTAGATGGCTCTTGCACAGGTCTCCACGTGACAAAGCCAGACCAATCTATCTGTGAAGGTGGAACACTGTAATTAAACACGGTATTTTTCTACGTGTAGTCCTCTTGTTTGCTGACTATGATAAGGCAACAGTTCCATCACGATTTGCCATCTGTGACTACTTCCCTCTTGGTACCAATTTATAATTAAAATAATTCAAAACATCTTTGCCAAAGAAACATTTTTTAATTAAAGCAAAGCCACAAAATAATTAGAAGTACAGGAGAAAACCTGATGCATATCATATCGCCTTACTTGAATGCAACCTCCCGCCCTTCAATATTTGCTTTTCTAAACCGCCCACCTCGGCACCCAACGCAGAGGGGTCTCTTGCAGCAGCCCCCCACGGCCACGCTGGCACCAGCTCAGCGTCTCTCCCACCTGCCTTTACAGTGGGCTTTTTAAACCAAAGCCCCTTTGATT